TAGTTACCAAATTTTACATGTGCATATACATACATATATCTAAAAGAATTGCAAAAAAAACTGGAAAAAAAAATTATATGCATGTATATATGCATATTTTTTTGAAAATGTATATATGCTTACAAAATATAAATATGTACTAAGAATACATTTTTCTGAATTTTTTTTAAATCTTATTTTCGAAATATAAGATATATTTTCATATATTCTAAATTTTTTTTAATATTTAAAAAAAAAATAAATGTTTTTTATTGTTTTTATTTTTTAAGTTAATTATTTATTTTTTTAAATTAGCCAAAAAATATTCCTTACATTTCGAAATTAGTATTTGAAAAAAGTTTTTTTCATAAAAAATGTATTTTTTATGCTTCTTCATATATATTTTTTTTGTATATATGCATATTTTTAAAAAATATATCATATGCACATTTATATTTTTAAAAAGACAAAATTCCAAAAATGGTCCCTGTGGTTAGCAAAATTATGTGATTTTGGTCCAATTTTTTTTTTCCGATGCAGCAGTGGTCGAATTTCGAATATTTTGTGTGGTTTTGGTCCCTATGATTGGTATTTTCTGTATGGTTTTGGTCAATACTCCACCTGAAATGACCAATATACCCTTAAATATCTCCTTTTTAACTTTTATTTAATTTATTATTATTTTAATTAAAAGAAAAAGAAATTATCACACCTACACCCACCATTTATCTCTCCTCCTGCTACTATCACCATTCCCCACACCATTTGCCACCAACCACCTCCATCTCCCCCACCCTTGCATCTCATTCCTTAACCTGATAAGCCTTCACCACCAACCATCGGTCATTAGATTTTTTCTAGAAAACCCTACTAAATGCCTCTCCCTCCCAGATCTTGCCGTAAAAATCAAACCAAAAGCTTCGTCGAGCTCTGCTCTCACCATCCACTAAGACATGAAACATTGGAAAATTGATGGATTTAAAGAAGATGGTGAATGTTGAACCACATATCCATCTTCTCCGACGGTGAATATGGCTTGATGTTGATTTTGTTGTCGAATAGTCAATGTTGAGGTGGCTTGAAGGGAACATATGGGGTCGATGGTGGTGACGCATCCATCAAAGCAAAAGAGAGTTGAGGGCTAGGGTGTTCAACTTCCCTGACGCCCTTCTCCCTGATTAGCTTCTGCTTCTTTCGAACAAGATGAGGAAAAGAGGTGTAAAGTCGATTTCAAGGATCCGAGATTGGCATTCCCTTCCTAATTTGAGCTGAAATCATACAATGGTGTAGAAATCGAGCAACTATTGCAAAGGCGACAACGATCGATAGTGGTGATAGTCCAGTTGTTCCGGGTGGTCGATACGGTGGCCTGTAGGGTTCTTTAGTTGAAGCTTTCACCTGATTCTGTGATTCAATCAATATATTTTAATTGGTTCGAGCCTAAATTTGTTAATGGCATCAAGATATCACAGTGGGCAATCTAGGGTTTCATGAAACATCAAGTTTGGGACATCAGATATGGCGAAGTGGAGATATGGTCGGAAATTTTCATCAGTGGCTATAGGTAACAAGACGATGGTGGTTTTCAAATTGTGTTTTTATAAACGGTGTTGGTAGCAGGTGGATCGTGGTGGTGAACGATGGTGGGATATGTTGGGAGTTCTTAAGAGTCTAACATCTGATCGGTGTGTGTGAGAGAGAGAGAGAGGGAGAGAGAGAGAGAGAGAGAGAGAGAGACTTTTTGTATCTTTAGTTTTTTAAAAAGAAAAAATTGCAAATTTGGTCCCTGTGGTATGTCCAAACTAGCATGTTTGGTCCAAAATGGGTTTGGCTTGCAAAGATGGTCCAATAGTTTCTATTTGTTGCGAGTTTAGTCCAATGGCTTAACAGCCGTTACCAAGCTCCCGTTAATTTACCCATGCCCCTCTCACTTAAGGGTATTTTAGTCCATTCATCTAGCCCCTTTATTATTTTATTATTATTTAGTCCATAAAGAGACTACAACGTCTCTATTCTCGTCTCCAGCAACAAGCCCTAACTATCACTCCCTCTCTGATTTCATCTTCTCCATCGATCACCCCCCTGTGATTTCATCTTCTCTATCGACAATGGTGATGTGCGTCTGCAGAAAGTGGGCGATAGTTCGGACATCGTGGACAGATAACAACCCAGGGCGCCGATTTTGGGGATGTCCTGACCCAGTACGTGTGTTAAACTTTATTTTGAAGACTACTCCCTGATGATCTAATGTTTCTTTCTTCTTTTTTTCAAGAATTCATCATGTGGGTTTATTGGGTGGTATGATGAACCCATGTGTGCTCGTTCCAAAGTTATAATACCAGGGCTGCTTAGGACAATCAATAAGCTACGAAAAGCAATGGATGATATAAGAGGACAAGCAAGCAAGCATGAAAAAGCAATGGAGAAGATCAAAGAACAAGCAACTATGTTGAAGTATTACCTAGTCTATAGTTGGATTTTTTTTTGTTGTTGTGTTGCTGTTCTTGTTGTAAGTCCACAGGTTGATTGTGGTCATCTTTTGTAATAGGATAGGGGTATATGTGTCTGGTTTAAGTATTTTTTTGCTAATGTGGAACATTGTTGTAATGCAAAGTAATGGTTAATGAAAATTTGGTATCTATTGGCCAATTATGGATTTGTTCTATTGTTCATACATAACCTTCTAAAGATAACATATAATGCATCCATATATAGTTAACACAAAAGCATACTAAAGACATAATACCTATTACCATGTTCAAAATACATGTCATAAGTTAATTGAAAACAAAGTTATTGCAACAAAAGACATCCTGCATCTAGGAATCAAACCAAAGTTGTTCAATACAGTCAAACCAAAAGATAAAACCAACATACACCATCAAGTCCCTCCCTGACCTTTGCATGTCCTGGAGTTGTGCCCTTTGTTTCCACACTTACTACAAGTCACACTAACAAACTTTCTTGTTAGTTTCCCACTACCATGTGGACCATGACCATGAATCTCACTGGGACCAACATCTGACCTTTGACTTTGACTTTGAATCTTGCTTTGACTTTTCTCCTCCATGGATTGCCTTCTCTTCCTCTTGGGTGTCCCAGGTTGATTACGGTATGGGGGAGGTGTGATCTGCATTGGACACTCACTTCTAGGCCACAATGCCCGACCTTTAATTGGTTTCACCTTGTACCCATATGCAGTTTTCCAAGTTTGTAGCCAGTGCACCTTGTGGACATAAGTATGGAGCTCTTGTACACACTCACCATGATCTGCTTTGTTATACAACACAGAAATCACATGTCTGCAAGGGATACATGTTAATTCCCATTTCCTACAGCTGCATACCCTTTCATGCATATCAACAACATGTTGATCATTCCATGGGCCTTTGACTTGGTATTTTTCATCACCACACCATTCTGCAATGTACTGAGTAGCAGCTGCTTCATTCTTCTCCATGATCTTTGTTGCTGTTGGGGTGAGTGGGCCTAAACACTTTTGTTGCACCTTGAGGACATTGCATATCCTCTTCATCATATATTCCCTAATAAACTCCAAGCAGCTAATAATTGGTTTGTCTCTCCCATCAACTAGCTTGCCATTAAACACCTCACAAAGGTTGTTTAACAGCATGTCTGTGGTTGCTCTCCCTGTATAGAAAAGGGTAAAAGTGTCATAATGTTATGTGAAGGGTAAAATGGTAAAAGGGTCATAATAGCTTACCTGTGAAATGGCTTTTTGCCCAATGTTGTGGTGGTATTGACTTCAACCATTCATATGCTGATTTGTCATATAAACTGAATTGGTGCATGAAATGGTTAAACTCTGGCACTGTTGTAGCTGTGGCACAATCCCAAAGGTGATCTTTATATTCCTTAGTTCTCCATTGTTTCTTCATGTTCTCATGTATATGTCTGAGACAGAACCTATGCTCAGCACATGGGAACAGTTGACTAACTGCTTGTAGCAAACCCTGGCAACAAATTACACATGATTAACAAAATAAACATTAAAAATAATAAATAAACAACCATTACCTTTTGTCTGTCACTAACAAAAGTGAAATTAGACATAGCATGTAGATCCAAGTCATCACCAAGACATTCAAGGAACCACTTCCAAGATTCGCAGTTTTCAATCTCTACGATGGCATATGCAAGTGGGTATATGCCATTGTTGGAATCTAATCCAACTTCAGTTAAGATCTGGCCTGGATAAGGGCCTTTCATATGAGCCCCATCTAGCCCCAAGAAATCTCTTAAACAAGCTTTGAATCCCTTCTTCATCCCCCCTAGACAAACATAAATTCTTTTGAAACATCTTGAAGTGCAATTCACCAAATTAGATTCTGAAACATCTCCAAGTTCTAATTTGACTGTGGTATCAGGATTGGTTGACTACAACTGAAGGATATAGTCTCTCAGAACTTCATACTGTTTTTTGTAATCACCCACTACAATCTTTTTTGCATCTGCTTTAGCTCTAAAAACTTTATGGATTGAGAAGCCCACTCCATACTTCTTCTGTAATTGTTCTTGGAGAGCTTTAACTGGGATAGTAGGGTTGGATTCTACTTGATCCATGATTTGTTTGGACATAAACTTCGCTGTTGCAGCTCTCACCTTCCTTGTATTCATACAAGTGTATTTGTCTTCATATGTTTTAATGTACCAGCTACTTGCATCTGTAGACCTCGAGGCATGTAACATCCAAGGACAAGAAGAATCTGCTTTTTCCTGACTTGTACCACCTTGTTTGTCCTTTTCTTTACTTTTCCCTTTACTTTTCCCTTTAATTTTCCCTTTACTTTTTTCAGCTTGGGTAGGTCCACCAACTCCATTACATATGGCCCTCAATCTGGATTTGTCATTTTTTTTAAATGCAATATTCTTTTTTGTTTCCAATGCATGCATTTTGATTTTCTCTTTCAACTCCTGCTTACTGTTATACTTTTGACCTATTTTAAAATGACACTTATGAACCTCACCTAAAGAACAACTTTTTTCCTTACTTAGTTGTTTCAAAACTGCTCTTCTCTTCCTGTCCTTGTCAGAATCCTCATCCATGGAATCAAAAGCATCATTGTCACTGACATTAACTCATCTGCTTCTTCATCACTCTCATGTTGTCTAGGATTCCTAGCCCTTTTATCTAAGAACTCTACTTCTGTATCAATGCTCATGTTAAAATCCCTCATATCAACTTCAATATCTTCAATTACATTATCTTCATCCACCCAATAATCACTATCATCACTATCATCTTCCTGCTCTGTTTCACTTCTTTCTTTACTTTCAACCTCACTTACATTTTCTTTTCCACTACTATCCATGTTAGACTGAGGTTGGTTTTCACTTCCATCTTGGACAAAAGCATCAGTTTGATAGTCAAAATCCCAAAAGTCATTCATTTGAGGTTGGTTTTCTTCATCCATCTGAGCTTGGTTTTCTTCATCCATTTGAGGTTGGATTTCTTCATCCATCTGAGGTTCATTGACATCATGCATGTCAGTGCCATTGACTCCATCAACATTGCTTTGTAGTATTTGTTGGTAGAGTCCAATATCAAAATCAGTAGCTGCCTCAACAAAGTCTTTGGCTATCTGTTCAGTCTCACCAATATCATCAAAGTATATTTTCTTACTGCAAGATGCCATCACTCCATCCTTGCTCATACCCCTTCTCCTATTATATCCAGGTGATAAGGATACGACTTGAACTATTTCATTAACTTGGATTTCAGGTTGGTTTGCTTGAGTGGGCACCACATCAACTAAATTATCAGTAGGTGTAGTCATCACAGGTGTTTCCTTTGATTGGTCATCAGGAGCTTCATCAATGTGTTGCACATCCTCATGTGGTTCATCTAACTGTACAAGGGTAACCTTGGTAACAGGCTTAGGATTCAAGAAATAGGTGAGTAGTCTTGTTTCACCATGCTCTGTGTATACCTTCATCACTTTGTGCTCACTGACATATTGAGAAAAGTTTGCAACATCTTGATCATTTCCTAAAGGGCGAAGACCAAAGTGGAAGTCTCCACCAGGCACAAGAAAATGGTAGTATATAACAGGAGGAACCCCATATCTAAAACCCTTCATGATTGCATCGAGCTCATGAACTGAAAACTCATCTATGTCTACCATGTCAACATAGTTTACAGTTCCATCAATGTAACGAACATCAGGGTACTTGGTGAACTCACCTCCATGGTACAACTTAATGGTAAACAATGTTGGGTGTCCATCTTCAAAACAAGAAAAAAAAACACCTCAGTTGGACTTACTTAAAAAAATCAAGAAATCAAAAGATGAAAAAGGGCAAATTACGTACCATAAACAACCTTGGGGTTGAAGGGTGTGTTTAACAACCTTACGTGCCACATTGTTATGTTTATCCACCGATAATCTCTACAAATCGCAGCTTAACTAACAGAACTGATTTTGTGTCTAGGGCTTTTATTGATCTTGGTAAAGAACGGCGTTCTACTTTATTGAGGAGGAGACGAACTGCTTTTATTGAGCTTTAGCGGGAACGGTTACAAGGATGAATGGACTAAAATACCCTTAAGTGAGAGGGGCATGGGTAAATTAACGGGAGCTTGGTAACGGCTGTTAAGCCATTGGACTAAACTCGCAACAAATAGAAACTATTGGACCATCTTTGCAAGCCAAACCCATTTTGGACCAAACATGCTAGTTTGGACATACCACAGGGACCAAATTTGCAATTTTGTCTTTTAAAAACATTAATATTAATATAAAAAATAAAAAACTAAAGGGTATAATAGTCATTTTAAGTGTATAGGAATCAAAAACACTAAAAAGATTTAAAATTGAACAACTAATACACCACCAAAAATTTTTGGACCAAAACCACAGAATTTTGCCAACAAGGACCAATTTTGCAATTTTGTCTTTTAAAAAAGATTTTTATGCCTCTATATGCATAAGAGAAAACACACACACACATATATATATATATATATATATATATATATATATATATATATATATATATGCTAATGCATATGATTATGATTATGTATATGCATATGCATAATAATAAATATATTAAATATGCATATGAATAAGTATATGCATATGCATATGAATAGGATATGCATAATAATAGCATATGTATGTATATACATACTAATATGCATAGGCATATGTTCTTATTTATATGTATATATGCATATATATATATAATATATATATATAATTATAATATATATATATATATATATATATATAATATATAATATATTGGAAAAGTGAATATACCCTTAGGGTATATAAGTTTAGGTACCCAAACTCACTATACTACGCCGTTTTGTATTATATAATACATTCTAATTATCTAATGTTCTTATAGTATAACTTCTAACTTGATTTATTTCCATAATTTTTATAAATTACACATTTATTTTCATCTTACATAATTTTCATTTTCAACTATAATATATGTAGCCTAATATGTGTTCGACAAAAAGATGTGATATAAGAGAAAGATAATAGTGAATTTCAAAAATCTTGACAGTAAATCAAGTTAGAGGTTCATGTTTAAGAAAATTATTATGAATATATCAAATAAAACGATGTATTATGGTGTGTTTGGGTACCTAAGCTTATATACCCTTAAGTGTATATTCACTTTTCCCATATATATATATATATATATATATATATATATATATATATATATATATATATATATATATATATATATTATATATATATATATATATATATATATATATATATATAACGACGCACGGTTTATATGACTAAGTCTAGTCCGATGTCATTGGCCGCGTACCAAAAACATCATACTAGGGACTTGATGATATATGGTCCATTAGCATGACCTAGATTGATATAGAGGGCCAGACTGGCCTGGCACGCTCCTGCTAGCCATGTATGGCGTTCCCCTGCTACCCTTGCTAGCCGTGTTGGGGACTCTCTTACCGGCCCGGCCTGGCGATCCCCTGCCAGCCTTTCCTGGTGCACGCTTGTTAGCCTTGCCTAGGGCGCGCCCGTCAGCCCTGCCTGGCGCCTCCGAGCGGCCTTGCCTAGCTCCTTGATAGTTGGGCCTGAATTGGGCTGGCCCAAAGCCCTGACCTAATTCCCTTTGACCTAATTGTCTCCTATAAATAGAATAGTGCCTCGTCCATGAAGGGGGACCTTTCCATAGGACTCTTACCTAAGTGGTTCAGCCGCCACTAGACCTCTCCCCATGGCTCAGCCACCACACTATACTCCGGCCGGGTGGCTCAGCTGCCACTCGCCACTGTCTGCCACCATACACCACCACCATCACCAAGATGGTTCTCTCCAACTATGGAGAACCAGCTCAGTTTTACCGGATGATCTAACTTGATCGTCGGTGTCCGCTCTCGGGGCATATTCCCTAGGGCGGCTCTAACTACTTTGCTCTGTGATGTCCAGATCTTCGCCGCAGCAGAAGACCAGAAAACTCGTCGGGGGTCGATGTCGCATCATTTGGTGCCATCCCAGATTCGAGCAAGTAGCAAAAGCCTCAGTTGTTTTCAAGCTCGTCTTTTGGCCTAGATCTTTCCAGATCTATTGGATTTAACATCAAATTTGCTCAGATCTGTTCATTTCTACCCATCATTTGTTCAGATTCGTTTGGCTCATGCCAAGATCTATTCATATGCGTTAGTTATTGATAAGATCTATTCAGATCTGCTTCTCCATCGTCCAATCTCTTGATCTGTGGAGTTTTCTCACTCAAAACTTCAGATTTGCCTCATTTTTTGCTCAGATAGCTAGATATGTTTCGTTTTAGTTCATTTGAGCAACTCTCAAGTTTCAAAACACTTTCTCAGATACAATTTTCATCAATATTCTGATGGGTTCTTCAGCAAGTAGTAAAGAAAGAATTTCTTATGAGTTCTTAACCCATTTTCGTTTTTATTTTGGTGTTTTTTCAAGCAATCTGAGAATGAATGAAGTTTTCATAGTGTTTTACCTCATCTCAAGTTGTTTTCCTAAAAGAATTTGTTTTTGGTTTCTGATATTCTTGGCAAAACTATGTTGAAGTTGTTTATTTAATGTTTCCTTCAAAGCTTAAAGAAGGAAAATGAAATTTTTCCAAATCTGTTCTTGCACACATCTTGATAGCTTGTTGAGCAAGCTGAACAAGGAAAGAACGTTTATGAGAAAAAAAATCCTTTCAGGTTCATTTTTGTTTATGTTTTGGTGTTTTTTCAGCAAGTTTGAAAAGAAAAGAAATTTTGTTGTTTATTGGGTAGAAGTTTGGAAAAAGTGTTGGTTTTTATACAAACAATCATATGTGTGTATGCAACCCTAGAATTGGATCTATGTTTTCACTATTAGATACACAACATTATGAACACATAAAGAAACTCTAATACTAGCATATAAGTGATCATATTAACATAAGAATAGGTTTATAATATTACCTTTGAATTTTATGTAGCAATAACAATCCCAAATCTCCTTGTATTGACTTTGGAAGGCTTAGAGTCACAAGTGTCACTCCTCTAATGGCTTACAAACACCAAGAGCAAATGGAGAAGGTATAAAGAGAGAGGAGAGAGGTTAGAATTCATCCTTAGGACTCCTTGGGAACAAGTTCACGAATTCTAAGGCCTTAGGGGTCTTTATATAGGGTTAGGATTAGGGTTTTAGTCCTTATCCTTATCTAGTTGCTTGTCCACCAAGCAACCATAAGATAAGTCTTAGAAACCCTTATCCTAGTCGAACTCTAAGGCATTATCACCTTAAATTCGTTCACCATATATTTAAGATAATCCTTACCTTATTTTGTAACTATCACATAATTACAATTCAGCCCCTCTAGTTTAATTAATTATACTTGATTACAAAATTAATTCTTAATTAATTATTGACCAATAATAATTAAACAAATATGATTTTTCCTTTAATATATTATTCTTATAACATATTAATAAATCATATTATCCTCTCTCTCTCTATATATATTTCTCCAATCAAGTTGCTTCGGTGAAGGCAACCCAAAAGGACCATGCACCATCGGGTCAAGTACATACCAAAATAGTTATGGACTTAGACACTAATCCAACAGTCTCCCACTTGGATAAGTCTAATAACTATTCTGCGTATGACTTCAGATCCTGATCTGCAATCGTAGCTTTCCAAAGCCGTTGTCAACTCTGATCATATCAGATACGCGTGTCCTTAGATAAGGGATCATATATTCCTCCATTCTAGATATCATATGAGATATGATTTCTAATCATTCTCTTTGTACTACTTCTCGATTTCTGATTTATGATGACAGACTAATTGAACAAATCAAATTAGCCCTAGCCCAGCTGAGCATTTACGTATGTCATCACTAAACCATCGAGGGGCCCAAAGATATCGCTTTTATCCTTCTTTGGATAAAAGGAACGGATAAACTTTGATACAATGCTTGCTTGCACTCACTAACCAATCACACACAACAATATGTTTTATAACACCAAGTTACTAGTGCGTTTACATATTATCAATGTGCAACCGATTAGCAAGATACAACTCACACATCTCGGTTTCAAGAATATAAGATGTTATCGTCTCACAATCACTCGTGATACAATTCATGGAGCGATCCAAGTGAGCGTGGGTTTAATCCAATGCTCAAATCATATTCGTAAGCACTCATGAACGTGTGCAGCAAACATTTGCTTATGTCTAATACTCTTTTAGACAATCCACACTCCAATTCATGACAGTCTTCATTCAATCTACTTCCAACATATGAACGACTGTGGCCCGTTCGAATAATTCGATTATTCTTAATAAACTCAATTATTCTGGAAGTCAAAACATGCAAAGTGAAACACAAGAATAATACTAATCCCATATGGCCTCAAGCTTTGAGTATAAATAAAACTCCTTTTATTTATCACCATATCGATTACTCATTATTTGTCGTTTCGGGTAATCAACTTCTTACTTGAATTATTACACTTGTCCCATGTTCCTAGCATGCACACAATGTTTACCTATGGTTCTTACTTTTGTGAAATAGACA